CTTTACCCCAAAAAAGAAAAAAAAAAGAATAAATTTACCGAAGTAAAGAAAATTTACTAAATGATTACATAGTTTCTACATAATATCTAATCATGTTAATAATTATCGTAACAAACACGATGAGCTAGCGAAACAATCGTGATAAATTCAGACAAGCACGTGCTCAGAAAATCATGATCTCACTATTGTTCACAGACTGCGCAAAATAATAATCGTCACAAGCGGGATATCGCCCATAATATTGACTTTTGATAGTAATAAACAGCATAACATGACGTATTAAACAGGATGAATCAACCTTTGTTAACCTGGCATCTGACTTTCGAAAAATTAACTTTTTTATGCAAACAATTAGCATTTTGTTTGCAGTAACAAAGGTAAATCATCAGAAACGAAATATTTACAAGTATTTTTCAGATGTGAAAATACGTTGAAACGACTTATTAATTTGTTGCATATATTTTTAAATGTAGAAAAAAAATATTTTATATCTTATTCTTCATGTTTGTATATTGAAATTTAGGGCGGAAAAACAATAATTGTCTGCAACCAAAAATCTTCCATAATACTTTGATATTTTGTTTAAAAAGAGAAATCCTTTTCACTATTTATGTATCTCAAGATCAAAGAGAGAGATATAAACACTCTTTCATCAACATGTTCCACTTTTCGCCTTTAACGGAGAATTTATTATTTGCAAGAAATTTGATTTATAAAGAGAAAAATATCTGTTTCGATTCGTGCAATCTCAGGTTCTCTGCACTAATTTTTCATCGACATTACGAGGCGATAAGTTCTACAACCAGCTCGCTTAGATTCTATAATCGCCACCCTCGACAAAAGTCCGTACTGTCTGTTGCAATACTTTATAAATATGAATAATATTTTGATCTGTCTGTATAACAGAAAGAAGCTTGTGGACTTTATACGCTGGAATAAAGTCCAGTCGTACGATTAATAGATAATAATATATGTATTAAAAAAAATTTTATTAATATAATTCCTTTGATGAATTAAAACAAATGAATTAAGCAATTACAATTAAAATTAAATACATTTTAGTCTAATTACGAATCTATTTCTTCTGTGTCCAATTCGTCTTTTTTTATATCTATTCTTATAAACATTTAAAAAATAAACAATAAAATAAAACTAATTAGAATATTTAATTTATCGAAATATGAGTTACAGTTTATTAATTAATTTTTAAGTATAAATAATTTATCTAGAAAGAATAAAAGATTCAAATTAATTTAAGTAAAATTAATTTATTAAAAAATAACATTCTATAGCAAATAATAAATAAATATAAAAATATAGTATTTAATAATTGTTATCTTTCAAATGTAAATAAAAAATCATCGCCAAATGTAATTGTTATAAATAATAATGATAAATAAAATTAAGAATAAAAATATCCCTGACTTAATTTATCCCTATTGTTTCATTTTTCTTTTTGTATTTAATCTTTTTCCATAAAAGTTTTAAAAATAAAGATGACCAAACTATAATTTATAATTCGAATATTTGAATTTATCAGAATACTTGTTAATTATAATTTATTAAAAATTAACACCTTAACGCGTGATTGGTTTATCCAAAGAATTAATAAGAGGATTGTAAAAGACTTAAGTCTGATTCACTGTTTCACTTTCGTGTTATCGATTTTCTTTCGTCGGTGTTGCATAGTCGTACGTAGAATTTATACAGTGTAGAATAGCTTATGCAGTGTAAGCAGTGAAGTAAAGCGTCTCTATTTTCAGTGGTTTGCTACATAAATATCTTTTGTGCAAAGTATCTAGATAGGAGTACACAGGCACTTTCCAACATATCTAAATATAAATATTTAGCTATTCCTTTATGTATGATTTTTCAAGATATATATTTAGCAATGTGCAGATAAAAAGAAACTATGAGACGACATATAACAATATAAATTGTTCGATCCTTTTTAAAACACGAGAGTAAGAATACATCTTAAAATATATATTCAAGCAATCAAGTGTCAAATGCGTTATTAATTATGTGTTGCAAGAAATATCTAGGCATAAATATTGTTATTATATCTAAAATGTATCTGTATAAAAAATGTATGTAATACATTATTGAATATACTGAATTCAATACAAAACATGTTTGAAAAGTATACTTCTGAACAATGCTATTTTAAATACAATGTAAGTGCAATAATTCGGAAGAGTGCCAATTTTCATACATAGCAAGAGATGATTGCACAGGTATCATGCGATACTTTGAATTCGAAAAAGCCATCCCAAAAATTAAATCATTGATTCTTTCTTAGGATAGTTGAATCATATGACATGTTTGCTACATTACATTCAATTTTACATTATTGTTTTAAAAATAATATATTCGCAAGTATTTCTACATTTTAAATAAAATATTTTTCATTATTTCCTTACTTTATTAATATCCTCAGAATATCTATTTAAATTATGTAAAAAAATTCCTTAAAGATTTCCTGATTTTCCAGGTACTTTAGTTTAAAATTTCAAATAAAATTAGAAAATCTTTAAATGCAAGTTTTAAAGTTTACCTTATTGTATCCTTTTTCATGTTTTCTAATTAGAAAAAAAACTATTTAATATTCATTACATAATCTTAACGTTTTGGTTTGATAAAATATACAACTTTTTTATAAAAATTCAAAAGAAAGAAATACCATAACAATAATATCATTTATCTAATAAACTCCATGATTGTTTTCTGTTTAAGAAGTGCATTATTTGTATTCAACATTTTCTATGTAATCCGTAAAAATTTAAGATAAAAATTAAATATGAGTAAAAATAAAGTCACTTTGAATAAGATTTGGATGGAAAATCTGTCTTAAAGTAAAATTAGATTGCAAAAAAGCTTCAAATATAAATGAAAAAAAAATTACTTAATGCTCGAAAAACTTTTTATTTAGCAAAAAAAGTTTCTAAATACTTAACAAACATAAAAATAATAATGTGTTACAGTTCTAAAGTCTGTTCTTTTTTAGCTGAACTTCTTGCACTTCATTTTTTTTCCAACTAGAGAGGTAAAGAAGAAAAATAAACCACGCAAGAAGTTCAAAAAGAACAGGCCTCTAGTTCTTCCAGTTCTATATCTTTTGTTCAAAAAAGTAAACATTTACTTTCCACTTGAGAACCAAATAATTCATTATTCGAAATAATATTAATTTTAAAAATAAAAAATTTTTTATAAACTTTCTTTCTCACGATTATTCTTTCAAAAAACAATACACGAGCGAATATAATGAAGTTCACGAACTAAACAGCTCGAATATTTGCGCATTTGTACACAACATGTAACAACAATAACAACGTCTATTATATTCCTCCCTATTATGTGCCTCCTTCTCCCGACCGGATCACTTCAGAGGTCGAGCAATAAGAGAAAAAAAAAAAAAGAAAAAAATTTAATCGAGGTAACCGCCGCTCGATATCGCTTATCGGCGCGGAAAACACCACGTGCTGGCGCAATGTGACACAGCCGCCATTTTCTCGAGCGCGCTCGCGCGCGCACGAAGCGGCGCGACGTGAACGGCGCGCGTGACTCACTCACCTGCGAATCGGATCTTGATTAGGTCCAGCGGGTGCAGCATCAGGGTCGAGACGACGCCACCCGAGATGCCCGCGACGAAGTACTCATATTTGAAGTTGCTCAGGACGTTAAGCTGGCGCGGGGCGCCCGGCGTGCCGCTGCCCTTGATCGCCGTCATGTTGTGCGGTACGCTGTCGTCGTGCCGCCGCTTCTCGCCGTTCGTTACCGATCCGTGATTAGCGATGCCCGATTCCGCATCCTTGCTACCGCTAGCAACGCGCGCCTCCACTCTGCGGCATATCTCTTGGTCCGCGGGAGGCACTGTCGTCGAGCTTTAGTAGCGTCACACGTCGCCAAAGTTATCGTCGCGAGGACTTGTTGCCTTACGCTTTTTCCTTTCCTTCTTTCTTTCTTCCTTTCGCTCGCTCGCTCGCTCGCCCTCACGATCACTCGTTCCCGTCACAGCTGGTTATCGCCGATTATGCAACACCAACCATCCGCGCTACATCACACGCGCCAACTACCGCCATACTACTCGACCGGGCCGCCGCGGAATGGTGCTCTTTAGGTGCTGAGAGAAAGGGAGTGGTGTAGAAGGGGTAGAGCCTGCTGCGCATGCGCAGCGACATGAGCGTAGCAGACGCCAGACGCGCTGATCCTCTCAGCTGACCGCGCGCACCCGGGATATTTAAATCACAATGGGTACTTTTCTCATCATGACATAAGTCAACACAAACGATCTTTCTTGGCATTCAATAAATAACAAAACGATACTTATGCGGACTTGCGTCACTAAATGGAAAGCACCAAGGCTATATTTTAAATATCGTCTTTTCTGAGGAAAATTTTACTCGAAATATAATATATGCTATAGACACGTAACATATACTATATCCAAATTTTAAAATTAATTTAAAATTTTCTTCGCAGAGGTTGTTTTGAAATATAACCTAAATATAAATTTGTATGCATATCAAGATATATCCAAGACGTGCATTTCGTATCTGATACTTCATTTTTGTCAAGAACTTAGTGTATCTACAATATTCGCGGATTTATTATCCGAAATAAAAACAAAATTCACTAATTCAATACATAGCAACAAAGTTGTTTCACGATGTGAATCTATCAAATAAAAATATAAATATAAATTATAAATTATAGCAGCAATTATCAAAAATACTTAATAATTGAAGAAATAATTATTACACGTTTTGAATGTTTTGTTTTTCATTTCTTTCAAACGTTTCGTTTCTTTCAGAGTTTTACTAAGTTACACGGTTCTAAAGACAATTGTTTTATGCCTATTTAAATTTAAAACTTTGTAAAATTCTACCAATAAAATCTTTCTTTAAGTTCTAATACAATGAATTGAATTTTATCACAAATTTAACTCATCAATAGCCGAGATCCTTCAAGAAATACACGTATATTTAATTCAGTGTACAATAATATATATACATAATATGTATATTTATATATATATATATATATATATAATGTAATATATATATATATATAATGTAATATATATAATGTAATATAGTAATGTATAAATATTTTCTTTTTCTCTAATAAAAATTCCTAATAAAAATTATCAACATTTGTTTTCAATTATATTATATTTTATGTATATTTGCAAATATAGAAAAAAATAACTAGTTTTTAATAAGTGTGAAATAAAAACATCTGTTATTTAATACAAAAATGTATATTGTAGTTGTCTCTGTAAAAATTTCTTATCACATACGCTTTAAGGCTTATCGAAAAACATAGTTCTCACTAGTATTTTATTCAAGTATATGTGCATTCGCCGTGTACTGATAAAGTTTTTGTTCGTTTTAACTACATTATATAATAACAAAATAATATACTTGCTATATTATAATATAATGTATAACAAAGTATATAATAAATTTAAAAATCAAGGAACTTAATTATTAAATTGTTTAATCAAAAAAATTATCACAAAAAAAAGAATAAAATAATATTGAAGATGAAACTAAACAATTAGAAGAGTAGACAACAAAATCATTATAATAATTTATAATAATTTAAATAACGCAATTTTCTTAATTTTTATCAAAATTATGTTCAGAATAAAATCAATAATTTCTATTTCTACAAAGAAGGTATTATTTTATATACGTTTTAATTTTACGTTATTATAAAATATTAATTTTTATATATAAATCTGCTACATTTAATATAAATTATTATATATATATCACTAATCAGAAACGTATCTACCAATGCTGACAGAAAAATAGAAATGAGCAATAATCAATTTTTTGCACAGACTTATCTGTTTCTGATAGGCCACGGTTTGTACTTGCGATCGTTAATGAACGATACGAAGGTAGGTGCGTAAATCGCTTGATAAAGATTTTCTTATCCGTTGGTACGGTCGAGAATATTTTCAGTATCGGTTTCCCTTTGCTGACAGATAGCAGAAACACGGATTTTGCTTACGAAAAATATTACCGTCGAGTATTGTGCGTTTAACGAAAACAAAAAAAGAAAAGAAAAATCCGGTAAGTAAAAAAAGCAACTGAGTGAAATGCTAATGATTAATAATAGAACAAGTAATAAAATTATTATTTCCTTGTTTTTAATCATGCGATAATTAATTATTGTCATTTGTTATAAAAACGTTCTTTTCCTTCTTTTGCCATTTTATTCTTATCTCATTCATTAGCATTAAATTAAGGCTGAATTTATTTCTATTGGCACAAAAAAATTTATCTAAAAATTTGACTACAGATCTAAAAATAATTTTATTGGATTTTCAAAATTATTATGTACGATATTCAAATTGGTTACTCGAAGATAAACAATTTTTAAAGTTTTATTATGTTGTTTAAGTTTCTTACATAATAATTTTGATGGTACAACAAAATTATTTTCAGATCTGTATCTGGTCAAATTTTTTGTCAAGCACAACTGTTCTCTCCTTGCAAATGCATTTTGTACATCATCAATAACATAATTTTAAAATTATATTTAAAAGCATTTTAATTAAATGTAATTCTTATTCTAGAAGCTTTTTACTTTTATCATATATTTTCAGAAAGATTCTAATAATTCTCATAAAATTTTATAATGTAATTAGTAACGGAATATGTTATCAAACTTAAAAATCATAATGTTCAAATACTTAGATATCATGCATTTGATTCGGGAATAATTCGAGTAAAACTATTTTTAAATGAGAAGGCATCAATGACGCCTTCTATACGAATATAGTCAACTTAAACACTTTCGCATTGATTAATCTAATTGACAATCATATTTTTCTTTCAAGATCGTAATGTCGTTTGTGGAAGGATCGATATATTCATAATTTGTTCTTATTTCAAGTAAAGTCTTAAGACATTAATATGGCTTTATGATTGATTTATGACATTTTAAGATTGTACATGACAATTTTAAGACAATTTTAAATATAAAAGAATCAACTAAAAATATCAGCTATAGATTTCTTTTTATAAGCGAATTTAAAACTTTTATTGTTGCTAATTAAAATAGTTACTTACTTCTCAATAATCTGTAATTGTTGATAAATTACTTTATTTATGCACGTTGCCATAACTACCAACTACTTGCTATGTATGCAATAAAAATGTATCTCTTCCATACATGAATTATTCAGGAAAATGAATTTGTTTACAGTGCATGTCGTATGAACAATCGCGTAGACGACAGTAAAGAACCGCTGCAAGAGGATCAACGATAGAACGATCGAATTGATTTCGATCTTAGCAGACAATATTGTGCTGTAGCGAATATCTTTACTTGATTAGAGAGAAAAGATACAATGAATATACGATAATTAGTTAGCATGTTTTTTATCGGAGTGTAAGTGTAAAAATAAAGAAGAAAAAGAACAATCCAATCTACCAAGTGACACGTTCCTTTTGTTATTAAAATCACGTGAATTGTTTCGAACATCATCATCAATTCAGCGAAATGGTAAGAAATTTTTATGTTACATACAACACGGACATTTCTTGCTTCAAAAATTATTCCTATAAAATTTAATATTTTTTTATCAATTCAAAATCTAATTTTGTATTATCTTATCTATCAAAGGTTTTAATTATTATTATCAAATTTATTTATTTCGATGAAAGCAGATTTCAAGTGTGATAAACGATCTTCTTACTTTTTTAAGAAACTCGTTTCATCATTAACTTATTAAATTATTCATCCTTAATTATTAACCAAAATTTATCGATTTTTCGCATTCAAACTTTCTTATCCTTATTAATATAAACTGCCAAGACAAATTTGAATTTGTTAAATAATGACATTACGTAACATTAGTACATTATTTCAAACTTCTTACAACTACCGATAATAATTCCGATAATCAAAGTTTGTTTTCTCCGAATGAACAAGAACTTGAATTTAAAATGTCATTAAAGTCGATCAGATAAAGATAAACGGTTATCGTACATTTATAATTAATCCTTCAAATTGATATCTTCAGATAACATTTACCATTTACTAAATCTGAGTTCTTCAATCTGTATTTGAAGAAACTTCTTAGTACAACTCATTGAATGTCAATTTAAGACGAAAACAATAAAATTACTGTTAACTGGTATCCTGTCAAATTATTCAAGTCGTTAATAATTCTGGCCTCTGGTCGAGGTGTAAATTCTTTCTATGTGTGTATCGCTGATCATTAGCGCCTGCCTTAGTTAATCAACATCTAACTCTAGTCCCACGTCAAGTCTTTGTGTGACTTGTGTCCAGGAAGTCTTCCGGAAGCGCGATAAAAACGAAAATGTAATGTGGAGTAGTTTAAATAAAGCAATTCTTCTGTGCACGACGCAAGAAAATGGCGAATATTTGTGCCTGTTGGTGAGTGAGCTACGCAAAAATTCGGTAGTCAGAATAGAGTCATTAATAGAAGTGCGATCCTTTATTATTATTAAATATTAATGGACAATGACAATTGATTGTATATATATATCTTATAAAACGGGTATTCTCAATATTCAAATATTTCTGTGATGATTTCTAGTATTTTCATATAGTACATTCACAAAAAGAATAAGTACATTCACAAAAAGTTTAATTTACTAGAAAATCTAAAAAATTTGGCTATGCAAAAATGTATTGCACTTTACAATTAAAATACATCTTCTCACGAAACATAATGTTGTTTTTCCAAATAAAAAAATTATGTTTCTAAAATAATAAATTATAATGATTTTTATATCATTAATCAAGACTAAGCGCGGTTGCTATCATATTATTATACTCATTTTTATGAATAATCTTGCTGCCGGTTGCTGGTGCAGCTGAAGAAGGACGACCGCTATATTTTATCTCTTCTATTGGAATGCCCAAGGCCAAGGCTATCCTATCTCTCACGTAATAATAAGCACCTTGATTCTTATGTTCCTCTTGCAACCACATGATCTGTATAATAATATGCAGATATATAATCAGAATGATCCATCAATTAAATATCTTTACACGGAAAAAAACACTTTTGCTGAAGTATTATATAGATTGAAAGTGATCATAAAAAATGACCTGTCATACAATTATTTTATTTCTTCTATTATTTATAATATGTTCATTTTTTTATCTTTATTTATATTATAGCACTCAATGATCTAACTTCAAAAACATTTGTAGCATAACTTTGATCATAGAGATGTAGTATTTGCAACTTTGTTAATGCTCACTGACCGTTTCTATCAAAGCGTTAAATAAAAGTGATTAAAGCGTTTAAGGTTTTTTTTTGGTCGTATTACCCCTTTTCATCGTGTCTAAATTCAGATAGGAGGACTATCCTTTGCTATATTTGTTTCAACTCTTTTATATACATAGGATAGGGATACTTAATATAACGGATAATACTTTATTTTACGATTACTTCAATCACTTTTATTTAATGCTTTCATAAAAGCAGTCAAAGAGCACTATCAAAATTGTAAATGCTACATCTCGGGTATAACCAAAGTTGCGTTGCAAATGCTTCGAAGTTAGTTGAATGCATACATAATACAATACATAATAAAAATAAAAGGATAAATAAAGAGAATTAATGTATATAAATAATAAAAAAAAATAAAAGAATTGTATTAATGTTTATCGTTATAACTTTTTAATTATTTTTACTAAAGATAATTGCATTATCTAAAAATTTGACTAAATACACATCTAGAAATACACATCTAGAAATAAATTTGTTGAGCCATTAAAATAATTATATAAAACATTAAAATTGCTCACTAGAATTAAATATTTTGGCATTATGCTTAAATATTTTGACATTATGCTTAAGCAACCTACATAACAATTTAGGTGACACAACGAAATTATTTTCAAATCCTTATCTGACCAAATTTTTACTTCAGCAAAACCATTCTTTTAAAACTGCACAAATTTAAATTCTCATTAATCTTAAAATTACATATTTTATATGTAATTTTATTTTTGTAATTACATTCGAAATACTCACATTTAATCTCTCAAATCCAAAGCCAAATGTAACGTAATATGTAAAATGTATGTAAAAATAAAAGAAAATTTTTGTTTTAAATTTTTATGTTTTTATGTTTGAAGAAAGAAGAATGTCAGGAATTGTAGAGTACAGTTGAAAAGTTAAAAGTCGGTGTATTTGTTAAATTGTAAATAAAAAAGTTATAAAAAAAATTCCAAGAATATTGCTAATTTGAACATTCACTGAATCTTGTATTTCTAAAATTAAATGTAAGTGTCAGTTCTCGATAAATACGCAATCGAAAACTTTTTACTTTTGCTCGCGGATATTTCACCATTTCTTCTGCAAACAGATGATACGGAAAGGGGCAGAGTTGTTCGATTCTAATAATCGCTATCTTATCTTCCAATTGTCGTTCTTGCCGCTCGATAACCAAGTCGTAGTATACTTTCCCAGTACAGAGCAACACCTTCTTCACATTTCCGGGCTTTACGAAAGGATCCGGTAATACGTGCATAAAACTCGTACCTGGTCCCATCTCCTCAAAATTTGATATCGTCATTGGATGACGTAGCAATGATTTGGGAGTCATAATTACCTAAATGATTTATAAGAAGACATTTACATGTACCAATACCAATTTATATGATAACAATCAGATTTGAAATCATATTATACGAATAAATATAAAAATTGGAGTAATTGTGCTTTGGATAGAATCGTTTAGAAAGTTGCTTAAATTTTTTTCTTACAATACAATAAATTCAATGAAATAATTTAGTCGTCGCACGTGTACATGTGACATAACGGAAATGATAAAGTTGAAGGATTAGCATTATGCTTTGTAGAAAATAACATAAATGATATAATCGCGACTTAGTAGATGTAACGTAACGTAACCAGTTTTTTGCTATCGCATTGTAATTTACGTTAAGAAGTGGAAAGTATAGATAATGTTTGGCGAGTTGAATATTCAATAAGTTTAATTGAGTTGCAAATGTGAGAATGTGCCAGAAAATGTTATACATCATTTTCGCGCAATAAAATATTTCGCGAATCATGTAGAACTTTCTAATGTGTTGCTATTCCGGTTCAAGGTTTATGGGTCAATATACAATTTCCGAAAGTAGATTTCCGAGATGAGATAAGAATATTTCAAGCAAAAATCAGGAGAAATATTTAATAACCGATTTTATGAAAAGATATAGTTATAGTATTTCTATATTCTTCAAGAGCTTATACGAACAATCAATTTGAATATTTGAATTTGAAAGAAGAAAATTTGCAATTGTTAAATATTTTGAAATTTACATAATAAAGGATATGTATTGTTAAATTTGTTTTTTTATCTCAGTTATAACTTTAATTATAACTATTATTTAAAAGCCAATTTTTATTTAAAAAGTAAAAACTTCGGTATTTTTGGATCTGTAATTGTAATATTCGCGGCGTAAGCATTGCGCAGATAATATGCGCAGATAAAAATTAAACTAATTAATTAACTAACCAACGGCTTGCGGAATGGCATTAACATTTGCCGACGCAAAAGATGAAAAAGATTGGCAGGTGTCGAAGGATAACAGACGATCCAATTTATCTCGAAAAGCTGTCTTGTCATGATTTGCTCGACAGTCTCACCAACGCGAGCACCGGGCTCTTTTCCGGGCACGTGAGTACACTCGTCGTCGCACAGCTGAAGAAATCTTTCTAATCTGGCGGATGAATGTTCCGGCCCCTGAGCCTCCATACCGTGTGGCAGTAACAATACCAATCCTACCTGTCTGCCCCATTTGGCTTGTCCAGAACATAACAGACAATCTAATATAACCTGAAGAGAAATTTACAATTTCGACAAATATTTCTAAAATATCACGTTTTTTTTCTTTCGAAGTTGTTATACGATAGCTCATTGTTAATTTAATTTTTACTTTAATCAGATATTTAATAATTGAGAGAAGAATTATTTAATCAATTTAAGAATAAAAAATTAATAAAGTGAGAATATTAAATTTTTGCAAGAAAAATATATAAGTAATTGTTGAAGTTACTTGACAGGTATTAGCAAAATCGCCGAATTGCGCTTCCCAGAGTGTCAGAGTATTGTGATGATATGCCGAGTATCCCAATTCGAATCCTTTTTTTATTGAGCAATCATAAAATATTAATTATTATAAATTGCCAATCGAATAGATTAAATTATAACATAGGCAAGTCATAAACTTCTATTATAATACTGCTGATACTTAAATTATTATTACAATTTTGTTAGATATAGATTTAAAAAATAATTTTTAAGACCATTAAAAATTATTTTAAGCCATCAAAATAATTAAGATATTCAAATTAGTTTGTTATTCTTCTTATTCGATTATTCTTTCTATGCAGAGTTGAGAAAGTTATTTTTGAAAAGTAACTTGTTACTATTACTCATTGAAAAAATTCATTATTTTTCATCATTACTCAGAAAGTATAACGTTATATAAAATACGGACTATAAAATAATTATATAAATGATTATATTTATTACAAGGAAAAAAGGATTTTGTTGAAATATCTAAAAATTTAGCTAGATACAAATTTCAAAATAATTTTGATGGATCATTAAAATAATGTAGGACATTTAAATTAATTGCTAGAATATTAAAAATTTTTAGTATTATCTTTATATTTAAACATCTCACATAATAATTCATCATTCTGATAGCCCAATAAAATTATTTTCAGATCTGTATTTGAAATAATTCTGTATTTCAAATTTTTAAATACAAAACCTTCTTTCCATGTAGATCTATACATCTATAATATTGCGTTTGCTTCGAGAGAGTGGTGAGAGGGGCGTTTATAATTATTCACATTATATTTCGTAAATGTAAAAATTTACAGTTTAATATTGCGCTAAGTGACCATTTATATTTTAAGATCAGCAGACTACTAACGCCCGTGAAACGAGATAAATGATTGTTATCGATAACACGTGAATAAGTCAAACGCAACAAGAATAGATATCGCTATCATGTACAATGACATAACAATCAACTAATAGCTAGTTAAGTCTCCTTACCGCATACACCATATTCTGACAACGAGGAATTTGAGACAGTATACAGAGCCTGTCTCGGAAAAACATCGCGCAAAATATTTTTATAGGTCTTGTCTTTGCTTTGATCATGGATAATATGTATTCGTTGAGTAAAGGTGCCACGCTCAACGTCTTGTCCGGATAATCTGACATGGTAACCTTCCTTCAATAGGCTGAGGAAAGCCAGACATTCCCCCATTGCCCAATCTATCTGTCGAGACTCCATGAGTTTTGCTCGTCTGTCCATTGCCCTTAGTACCTGTGTATCCGATAAACAAATCAAATCACAAACAATTGAAAATTTGTTCCTTGTCCATCAAATGGATGTAGAAATACCAAGTAGTTATTTTTCCGTTTCTGTTCTTAAATTAATATTTTTTTCTTTCTTTATTCTCGGATATAAAATTTAAAATTTTGTTTAATATTCCATCCTTCCGTATAATAATTATAATATCCGTTAAATAATTAATAAGAAGTTAAAGAATTCGAAAATTATTATAAATTTTTAATACGTAAAAAAGATATTAATTTAGAAAATAGGAATAGACTGCTCACTTTCTAGTATTAACTAATTCCTTAGCTAATTGTCAAATTTTATAAAAAAGGAATGCGAGCTCAAAACTTTATAACTTCTGAGGTACTAACTTGAAGATGCGCCTCGATGTCTTTTGGAGGAGTAGATATAGCATTGCATATTGTCTTAATAGTTGCGATGTCAATACCGGTCGAGGGTATTTTATTTTGCGGAGTTTGATTTGAAAAGAATTCGGTCCAGGGTACGTCGTACCAGTCGCTCATTTGCATCGTGCTAATAGTTTGTGCTTTCCTGAATTCTTCCTCGCAATGACTTATATATTTTTCGATTTCCTACAAACGGGAAAAAACTTCTCATGTATATATGGCAAAATAAAAAAAAAAAACAATTTTAAAGACAATACAATAATTATTGTTTTCAACCTCATTTGCAAAAGCTTGCGTTATCACGCCCTCTTTCAATAATTTATCGGAATATATCGACAGAACACTGGGATGTTCTTTTATTCGTTTATACATGAGTGGCTGAGTTAACATTGGCTCGTCCATTTCATTGTGCCCACTTCTTCGATATCCAACGATATCTAACACTACATCATTATGAAAAGTAGCCCTGGTGATAAGATTATAATTAATAAAGCTTCTTTATTAACTATTCTAATTTTAATGTAGTTATTTATAAAATAAATTTTATACTTTAATAAAAATTTTCTACTTTTGTTATATCAATAGATTATTCGCTTAATTTAAATAATTTTAAAAAAATATCAAAAAATGTTATTTATAACAATTTTAATTTTAAGTTTAACTATAAAATATATTGTCATCAAATGAATTTTTATATTAATGCGTTAATAACAAATCTTTTTTCTTTAAATAAAGACACTTGAGATTAATTCTTAAAACAGATTTTCTGATTATTTTTAAAGTTTTATTCGCGAAAGCTCTTTTCAAGGTTTAATATTAAATATCTTTAAGATTCCCAAATTCCGAAAATTGCGATTAAATTGAATTTTTGTTACGATAAAGTCAGGATAGCTCAAATAAATATTTTCTCGAAATCCGATAATAAAGATTGATGAAAATTGAATGATATGATTTACCGATATTCGCTGGCCACTTTGCTGCAATAAGTCGCTAAATCGGGATCGTCGGCATGTATATGAAAAATAGGAGCATTAACAACACGTGCAACATCCGTACAATGAACACTAGATCGTGAATATCGTGGGTCGGTTGTAAAACCAATCTAAAAGAATTAATAAAATATTTTTTAAAAATATTTTTAAAAAATTATCTGTAAACAGTGGTAATATATTTAACAATTATTTAATATTTTAATGTTTTATCAATTACTATTAATTAATAAAATAGTAATACAACAGAGTAAATAAATAAATGAGAGAAATATAATATCAATTTTATATATATATATAATTATATAATAGTATTTTTCTATAAATAATAATCTTAATTAAAATTTTAATTCGTCTTGTTTATATCAACATTTCTCTAGGAAAATAAATTTGAAAAAAAATAATTAAATTTAAATTCAAATCTACTTGTTTAAAATTAATTATTATTAATGAGATCCATTTTAAGAATTATTATCATTATAAGGAAACTATCGATTCCTACTTGATTATTAATTACGAGATGTATAACGCCACCCGTTGTATACTCTGGTAGATTGGTGAGATGCATTGTTTCGTAAACGACACCTTGGCCGGAAAAAGCGGCATCACCATGAACTAGTATAGCCAACGATCTTTTACCATCTAAAGAAGAGATTTATTTGAAGAAAACTTATCGTTTCTTTGAAATTTATGCATTTTTGATACATACGTTTAGAATCACCTTTCGCAACTTGCTCGGCACGAACACGACCGACAATCACCGGATCAATTGCTTCTAGATGAGAGGAGTTCGCCATTATGGCGACAAGCATTTTTTTTTTAGTTCTGTAAAAATTGACATAAATTATATATAATATTAATTTCTCTGTCTCTCTTTATAATATAAATTTAAATATCTCTGTCTTATTTAAAAATTAATTTTACATTGCGTAGCTTTCGTCACCTTTCTAATAATTTTTCTGAGTGCGTCCCGAGATGGTATTTTACATCACCAGAACCGAATCCTTCCAAAGAAATCGGATTGAACTGAGTGAGCACCTGACTCATTGGTTTTAAGCAGATGTTCACTAAGGTATTCAAACGACCGCGATGCGCCATACCAATTACTACAGTTTCGACTCCTGACAAATAAACAAAATTATTTAGGATCTTGTTTAATCTAAAATCTCAAAAATGTATAATTTTTTTCAAAATATTTTTGTATACTTAATTAAAATTCAAAGTTTGATTGAAGACTCAAGAATCAATTTAGTTACCATTTAACGCCGATGTTTCCATGCATTCCGCCATCGCCGGTATAAACGATTCGCAACCTTCTAATCCAAATCTCTTTTCCGTCCCGTACTTTTTTGCTAAAAAATTCTCAAAACTCACAGCTCTCATAATATTCATCCAAATCCACTTTCGATGCTCCGCCGGCAATTCCCAGGCGCCTGGTATCTCAAATTTTTGCCTCAACCAGTCTAACTAATGAAACATAATATAAATGAAACATAATATAATTTGCAATTTTGTATAGGGATAAAAAATTTTTTAAATACCGAGAATATATCGGTATTTTCTGGTTTTACGTAATAATATAATTATTATATAAAGAAATATAAATCGACTGATATAAATACATTTAACAATTCAATATTGATACTTATTAAAGATTTTTTTAAATATTAATGCTTAAAATATTAATATCACAAAAGAGTAGAGATATTTACTATACACCGGTATACAATTGTTAATAATATTATTGTAATATTCAGTCTTTTGTTTCCTTTTTTATAATTTAAAAACTTTTTTTAAACATTAATCACAAAATACTTGATAATAAACCAAAAAATATTTTTCAATTAATATAATTAATATTTTTGCAAAACATGCATTCTCTAGTAATACAAATATATTTTTTTTAAATCAAAGTTTTAATATTTTAATCTTTCATATCTCTCTATTTTTAACTTATACATTACTATATTAAATAAAATCTAATGTTTAAACAAATAATCTAATCGCATAATCTATAATCAGTAACAGTAATTTCGTAATCTAATCTTTCGGTGAACATTTGTATGACAGCGCAAAATATTACTTTCAAATGCAACTTTCTAGAAACAACTTTATATTCTTTATAATAATTTATTTTCCTTTTCTTTGTCCATTTAAAATTAATTAGATAAAAAATTGAATAAAACAAATCTTTAACCTATTTTTCAATCATCCATTTCAAATTATATAGATTACAAGAGGAGTATTCTTCTTTATTTAGAAATTAAGGCATATTTAAAAATTATCTTATACATTTTAAAATATCAAGAAAATACTATGTTTTTTAAATAAAAAAAATGTATATATAATTTTTCATTTAACAAAATCATACGCGTGATATGTGTACCATATTAAGATCGTGAATGTATGTATATTCGAGGCCTAGATGACCACAGTAGATCTTATTGAGCCTCTTCAGTATCTCCCGTAGCGTCAATTTCCTCTTGTCGCCTCCAATAACGGTTAGAGACCCAAGAGGAAATTCTCTGTCCATGTCTGCCTCCGTCATGCCTTTGAGATGTTGTCGCACCACGATCGCAGGTGGCAGATTCGCGCTGCCCTGAAGTTTTGCCGACTCGGAGTTCTGTATACCCAACGGATCGGTATTGGCTATCAAATGGCCACGTGTCTTGAGCAAATGAAAGAAATAAACGTTAATGTATAGTATAATGTAAGACTTGTGTTGTGCAAAACTTGCAACTTTTGCAAGAGATGTACTTGATAAGCTCGGATCGTAGAATTAATATCAAGTGCACCGCTTATATATTGATCCCCCTGCAACTGATTATCCGACTTCCCTCGAACAGGCTCTTTCGAAAATAATGATCCTATTAAGCATTTATTTGGAAATATAATTAGTAGTAATATTTCTAATTAATCCATAAATTATATTTAATTATAAATAAACATACTTATTTTGTTATTTTCTTTTCTTCTCTATGGCATCATAGAAAGTGATTAAAGCTCTTGCAAGTAACTTTAAACTTTTATAACTTTTATTTTATAAATTGATCGACAATTTATGTAATTTAAGATATTACTATATAAATTAACTGTAAAATTTATTTGCAAAATTTCAAAATTTTATCTTAGTTCATATAATGACGAACATTCTAAAAATAAAATTTAAAAAAAATGTATATAAAAATAAAATGAATTCTTGTATGAACTCTTTTTACAAATTTAATTTATTATGGAACTTTTAAAAGTTTAAAATAAACTCTGCGTAAGAACTTTATCTATAATCATCCTTCATAACATTTTTAACTTACGTAAAATCACATTATTTAAAATTTACTACAAATTAATTAAATAATAAAATTCAATCATGATAAAAGATAAGATTTTTTTAATTCCCAGATAAGAAAAGTAAATATTCTCTTAAAATAAACACATTGTTCATTATTCTATATTGTATAAATTACAATTAATATTAATCATTTTAAATACAATATTAATTTATAAAATTATTATAATAAGATTTATCAAAACTCACTATTGCCCAATTGTCCTCCTTTTAAATTCGATGTCATTAATTTAAGAGCTGATGTACTGACGGGAGTCAATTTGAGTTTGGCATGAGAGACTTTAGGGCTTTCAGCGTGAATTAATTTAAAATATGAGTCCCACGAAGAATTCACAGATTTCGTATCCTTGAGCCAAGCCTTGTATATATAATTCAAATATTCGCTGTTGATCATGTTAAGCACGTTATACTTCCTCTTGCCATTATCACCGTCATGTTTGTGGCGTATCGGGTTATTTTTGTAAAATTGTTTAATAATTGATCTATGTTCAAAGAGATTTTTCCGATTCGGGTGGAGGCAGCGTATGAATTGTTGGTATAAATATGATGTGACAAATCGTGCACTCCGATAATTTTGCACCTTTGCGTACATTGCCCCATTTATCGTTACGAATTATAAATAAATGTTTTAGCGCACGAAAAATAATAAAAAAGTAAAACGATTGAAAAATTTGGAAAGTTTGACCTTGCAAACTTGATTGAACAAACAGATAATTTTATACATAATATTACTTTATGTCATTGTGTGATTTTCGATTAACCTTTTAATTTGTATGTTATGATTATAGCTAGATTTACAAGCAGATTGATCTTCGTTCAAGTGAAAGCAAAACAATTGGAATAAAAATTCATACTTCTATTGCTTGAAAATTTCTCAGAAGAGCTTTAAATTGCAATAAAATGGATTCGTTTCCTTTTTTCAAACTGTTTCTGAAAACATTTTATTAAAATATTGTACATAATTTATTACTGTTCAATAATTTAATTTTTATAATTTGATAATAAAGTTTATAATTTAATATAATATTTTAATACTATATAAATATTCAATCATATATAAATATGTATTTTACTAAATTAAATTAAATTATAAATAATTTTTTCTTGTTTTATTTTAATAATTTAATAATTTAATTGATAATATAATATAATTATTAAATTTTACATATACAAGTACTTGACAAGACTTCATTAAATTAAATTAATCTATTCTTAATGTGAGTACATCTTAACAAAATTAAATATTTTATTAATATTTATTTCTATTATATATCTGACAAAACGTTAAATTTTAACATTGCTAAGATTTAGCAAACAAGAATTTAAATTTCTCAAATCTACACTTCTATCCACAAGTGCATCTAAATTAAATTAGCATACTTTTATTTACAGGGTGCGACATCCTCGGTAGTTAACGATCATAGAGTCGTAAAGATTAATTCTGGAGATGATTCACAAACACATTTTGTTAGCAATCGGATCATATCACATAAGGTATTTTTATCATTTTATAAAATTTAGAAGATTTAATATTAAAAAAAAACCTACGTCATAATATAGGAAAACATCAACTGACGGCATTCAGCAAATATCTCAAAATAATGTTCATTATTCATTATTCTTTCTCATGTCTAAAAATAGACAGTAATCGTATTTATCTTCATCTAATCTGCAGTATACGATATGGAACTTCATTCCAAAGAATCTCTTTGAGCAATTTCGACGAGTGGCAAATTTTTATTTTTTAATCACGACGATAATCGCGCTTATAATAGAATCGCCGGTCTCGCCGTTAACCAGCGCCTTACCTCTAACGTTTGTCATCTTGGTAACAGCGATTAAACAGGGATATGAAGATTATCTCCGTTACAGAACGGATAAACGAGATAATCGGAGATCGGTTAATGTCATCCGTAACAAATGTCTGCAGGTTCGTCGTGCAATATTTTTTATGATATTCTAAATTTTATGTTCTTAATGTCTAATAATAAAGCAAAAATAAAATGTGTTACAGTATTTACATGTCTAAGATTTTTAATACATGTTTACAATTTGCATTTATTAAAAATTTTGTCAAAGCTGTTTCGAGATTTGTTTCTGATTTCAGGACGCAAACCAAAGTGTAGGATAATTTTGGAATTACTAGATTAAGTCTATTTTTTTACGTTTTATATATAAATAATATACGATACTTATAGGATATATATTGCGAACAAATAGTAGTGGGCGATCTTATAAAAGTCTGTCGAGACGAGGATGTGCCCTGCGATATCGTCCTTCTTCATAGTGAGACTCGAGGATGTTGTTACGTCACGACATCTAATCTAGATGGTGAAACGAATTTAAAGGTAATCATCTTTACATCTCATCTATTCAAAATAAAATGCATTTTGTTCTCTAGCAAAACTTATGTTATATTAAATCAGAATTTTTATGTAATATGTTTCTTTTCTCTTTTTAAGTGTATATGTTATTTTTATTTAAATAGAAATACTTTTTATCGCAAAATTCCAGACGTTACTCGTCCCGAAAGTGATCTCAGCGATGTCACTTTCGGAAATAGTGGCGATACAAGCGACGATTACGTGCCAGCAGCCCTTAGCTAATCTTTATAATTTCCACGGCAAACTCGAGATTAACGATGGCAGCGAGATAATTAGCGGACATCTGACAATAGATAATCTTATGCTTCGTGGATCAAGACTGAAAGATACCGAGTATGTGATCGGCTGCGCGGTTTACACCGGGCAGGACACGAAACTGTCCCTCAATTCAAAGATAGTCAGCAATAAATTCTCAACTGCCGAGAGGTAATTACGCTTAGGCAAGCCTCTTTTTATTCATAGTAATTTGATGTCACTTCGTTTTCGCTATATATTTTTCGCTGGCATTTTCGCTATAACGACTATCGCCCGAACGCTATAAATAGCTTAAAAAAATATCTTTGCTGAGATAACTTGTAATTCAATTTACGTTTATCTGAGTTCATTATCATTCGTAGATCTATCAATAAGTATCTTATTGTATATGTCGTGATACTGTTACTTGAAGTGTTGGTGTCTACTTTGTTGAAACTATACGTTGAATCCTACCAAGGATGGGATAGTTATCTAGGACCACGGCCTAATACCAATTTTTTCTCGTTAATTACGGATATTATGAGCTTCCTTATTTTATTCAATTACATCGTACCGATATCATTGTATGTCACCATCGGTAAGACATTCTTATTTACAATTTCTTTTTATTCAATGCAAAATTATTTATTATGTCTTTCTACAATTATTTAAATTTCTTTTAAAATACTCTGCATAAAGATGTTTATATTTATAAGATGCATTTATAAAAAGATTCTGTCAACTTCAGTAAAAGTTTTACTTGTGTTTTACCAGAATTGCAAAAGTTCCTCGGCTCCTTTTTCTTCGGCTGGGACTTAGACATGTACGACGCAAGCAACGATCAGCCGGCGCTCGCCAATTCGTCAGACTTGAACGAAGAGCTCGGCCAGGTTGAGTATCTGTTTGCTGATAAGACTGGGACACTCACTGAAAATCTGATGGTGTTCAGGCGCTGCTCGATCGATGGCAACATATACATGGAGAAAGATTGCGATGGAAATCTTTACTTATTGCCATCAAGCGGAAATGAGAAGGAGGCCGTCAAATTGTCAGCGTGGGAGGTAAAAAAAAAATATGAATTATGATTCATCAATAAGAAGAATTGTAATTTTATTATTTTTATTAAAAAAGTAGTTGATTTTAATTAACGTGAAAAATTATACCGCTATGTGATTTGATGAAAGAATAATTTTATTAATTATGTGGCAGCAATTACGAATACCGAATTATAAATAATGATTAACAATAATTATAATTAATAGAATTATTGATAATAATTATTATCATAATTAATAATAAAATAATAATTACAAGTAACAGAGTTTTTATATTATATATATATATATATATATATATATATATATATATATATATATTATATAATAA